AACATCAGGATTATTTAATAATACAAAACAAAGTCTAGGACACGTTTCAATGACATGATTTAAAGCACTGTCTGAATAATCATGCATAAATAACTGCATTAAGGTTGGAGGCAAGAATTGTCGTTGGCCAATTTCTTTAGCTCTCTCAAAAATTAGATTTATTCTATTAACACGAAGGCACTTGAGTTTTTTGCAATTTTTAACCAGAGATAAAAATGCATCAACAGATTTTTCCTGCTTAAAAATAAATATTTATGTAAGTATTCGAATTAACTAGATTAACCCACCCGAATTTAATTGACAAACAAAATTAAATATTTCTAATTAAAAAATCGAACCGGTTGTAGAACTAGACCCAATGAAAGGAGATTAGGCGCTAAAAACTCCTCAATCCGATTTAAATCCCAAACATCAATCGGTTCCTCCATGGAAAAGTGTGTAAGAGAAGACAATGAGTAAAAATGACGGCCGACAAAAGACGAACTTCTAACTCCATAACAGAGACGGAGACTTTTCAAATACACTGCACAACGAAGAATTATAACATTAAACGCCTTTATCTATAAAAGATAGCAGATAATTAAAATCGTATAGATAATAACCATTTTTAATTCAACGTCCCCCGATTCCATATCAAGCCAATTACATGTTTCCTTTGAGAAATTTAAATACTTTACATTACACCACTTTTGACAAGCAGCAGCAAATAATGCACAAATGAGTTCGAGCCTAAGTCGGCTGTTGATATCAACCCTCTCCCATTTGCTATCAACCCTCTCCCCACTCTCCCCATTTGAATTTTTCTTTGAAGCCAAGGCAATTATATCAGCCCCAATGCCGCCAAATACATACTTTGATTTTGAATTGTCCATAATAATTTCATGATGAACACTTGAGTCATGAAAGTTTATTTCAATTGAACTTTCGTCGTTGCTGTCATTTAGACTTGATTATTCCAAAAGTATTCCAGGCCTGAAAAAATTTTTTTAATTTAAAATGGCTAAAGTATTTTTCTGAAAAAGGTTAAATCTATCTTTTAAATATCCACATATAAATAAAACATTATTTGACAATCAATAACTAACCAAAAATCTTCCGCCATCATCAGAAGCAGGAGTTGATCCGATAGAGAATGGTTTAGGTACTCGCATTCCTTTTATTGTTGTACACGGATCTTTTTGTGTAAGCATATTTGCCAGGTCGTTAGTATTGAAAAGTTTTCTTTCGCTAGCTGCATTGAGGATCCCATACACATTGAATTCGAGGACATTGAATTCTAAAATTAACAAGGAAAAATATTAAAACAATTTTAGTTTGAAAAATACCCTTATAAATTAAACTTAAAAAATATTTGGTGATTGCTAAATCACAATCGAGCAACAAAAATTGAATTAAAATAATAAAAAATAGCCTACTTTGCTATAGAGAATTCATTACAGGCCTTAAACTTGGCAATCGGTTTCTTGGAAGTTTGTTGATTTTTTTGAATTGAACGAATATGGCATTCCCGTCAGATGTCGAAATTGTGAAATACTCTCCACTTGGACTTATTGAAATGTTTAAAATTGCAGCTATAAATTTTAATATTTTATTTCAAACGATTTAAATAAATACCTTCAAATTCATAACGTTCAATGGATGACTGGCCTGAGGTAGTATCCAATCGAACAGATTTAACCATAAAATCACTTAAATCTCAATTTAAAATAATCTCTAAAAAATTAAAACAAACCCTGAACCTGCAATCAAATAAATTCCATTCGTTGCCAAAGCAGTCACTTCAAGAGAAAATGATAAAAATGCATGAGAAGGAAGAAACGATGAAAGACCATAACGAACAACAACTTGTTGATCAACGCCAGTAATTACATCTTGAGTTGTTAGAGCCAAATCGATATTCTCCCTATATAAAATTTTAAAACAGAACGACCAAGTATTGTCTCCAAAGTCCCAAATCTTGGCTAATTATTTTCCTTGTTTTTATTTAATATTGATAAAACACAAAATAGGTGTAAAAAATATGAAATTTAATCTCTAATATTTAGCCCAGCCAGCACAAAGTTTATGTCCTTTCATCTCAACTCCATTAATGCCGGAAATAGCATTTTCTGCCTCCCGCATAGCTTGAAATTCACACAAGCAACGCCCTGGACGAATTGTATTGCGGTCAAATTTAATGCTTAAATAATAAGCCTTATTTGAAAATAAAGACAAAAATACCACAAGGCTTTTATAACACCATAAGTAGCACACAATTTATAAATATCTCCATATGGCGTATTGTACGGAATGTTATCAACTAAATGTAGAAATATAATGTACATATAGTAAATATAATGCACTTAAAGAGGAAAGTGTGAATGTTCTGTACAATAAAATCAGAATTTATACTAAATAGGACTGACGCGATTTCGGATTGTGTTTTCTTTGAAGTTAAGTGGTACTACTAATTTAGTAGTAGCTAATTTTGGGTTTCATACAAATTTTCTTGGATTGTGGAAAGTTTCAATGCTAAAAATATTTGTTAATTTAACCAAAATATCCCTAAATTTTTAAAATTACCATATATAATATATAGCGGAGCATCCATATCTTTGTCAAATCAATGAAATTTTTAAATTTGAAAGCAGACAACTGAAAAATCAAAATAATGAAAAATCAAGTATTAAATATGTATTTAAGAAGTTTGAATATCTTATGCATTGAAACATTTGTTTAAGTCGAAATTCAAAAAATTTTATTTAATAGAATTTATTGGGACACGGCACTTAGTCGCGGGCCACTTAGTCGCCAGCCCACTTAGTCGCGAAGTAACTAAAAAGTGGTGCCCAGCAAAATCGATTTTGCCGGACCCGGATCCGAATTCCGAACTTGCAACTTGACTACTACAAATATATGACATAAACTGGGGATAATGTTACAACAATGGAAAGGTTGTTCCAACAGCAGGTGGCCGGTGACTAAGTGGGCCATACCCGAATTTATTTAATATGTAGAGATCCTCAAAATTAAAAAAAAATAAATTAAATCATAAAACATCAGTCAAAATTTTTTCTTTATAATTAAATGTAATAATTGCCAAAAAGTATTTGCCTATAAAAAGAAAAAATTAGGAAGTTTAAAAGAAGATACAAACGAATTAAGTCCATAAGAGGCATTCAACATTTTTTTTAGAATTTTTGATTGGAAATAATTGCAATAATCCCGAGAACGCGGAACTCTATTTATTTTATAAGCATTATTTTTCCAAACAAAAATGACATCATCTCGTAATCCAAAACGTCTTAACTGAATTAAAAAAAATTAAATCTTATAATAAAAATAACATCAAAATGAAAAAAGACAGAAAGCTTTTTGAAACTATAAAGCTGTAATAAATCATCTTCAATCCCAGTTCCGCTGTTTGACCACTCAAAATCCAAATGTATTAATTCCAAACAATTATAAGCAATTATTGATAAATCAGTCTAAAGAAATTTTAAATAAAAAAATATAAATTAATGCCTTGTTAAGATCATTTCTTTTAATCTGCAATGCTCGTAGAAACTTCAAGGATGGATGAGAATATATGGATTCCCGATCAGTTGTAATAAAAAATGGAGAGTAAAAGCTTAAAATTAAATTTTTATTATTATAAGAATATATCCAACTTAAAAGAAAACTTTTATTGAAAAAGTTTTTGATATGCACTAATAAATACCAAAAAAGGTAGGTTAATTTGATAGGGCATTCACATGACTTAAGAAAACTTTAAGACTAATTGTAAGTGAGATATCAATAAAGACGGATTCCAAATATGTTATAAAGCAAAAAGTTAAGGGCTTTGCTAAAGAAAGGATATGCTAGAACTATTGATTAAAAATATACCGATGCATTTTAGTAACATCAGGATTATTTAATAATACAAAACAAAGTTTAGGACACGTTTCAATAACATGATTTAAAGCACTGTCTGAATAATCATGCATAAATAACTGCATTAAGGTTGGAGGCAAGAATTGTCGTTGGCCAATTTCTTTAGCTCTCTCAAAAATTAGATTTATTCTATTAACACGAAGGCACTTGAGTTTTTTGCAATTTTTAACCAAAGATAAAAATGCAACAACACATTTTTCTTGCTAAAAATGAATATTTATGTAAGTATTCGAACCGACTAGATTAACCCACCCGAATTTAATTGGCAAAGAAAATTAAATGTTTTTAATAAAAAATCGAACCGGTTGTAGAACTAAGCCCAACGATAAAAGATTAGGAGCTAAATACTCCTTAATCTGATTTAAATTCAAAACATCAATCGGTTCCTCCAAAGAAAAGTGTGTAAGAGAAGACAATAAGTGAAAATGTCCAACAAAAACCGAGCTTGGAACTCCATAACAAATACGGAGACTTTTCAAATACGCTGCACAACGAAGAATTATAACATTAAACGCCTTTATCTATAAAAGATAGCAAATAATTAAAATCGTATAGATAATAACCATTTTTAATTCAACGTCCCCCGATTCCATATCCAGCCAATTACATGTTTCCTTTGAGAAATTTAAATACTTTACATTACACCACTTTCGACAAGCAGCAGCAAATAATGCACAAATGAGTTCGAGCCTAAGTCGGCTGTTGCTATCAAAAAATTCGAAAATTGAAAACTAAAATAATATATATTGTTTAAATATTATAAAATCCAACCAAAAGTTATAAAGGCATTTTTGCATTGCTTTTGATCAGCATTAATTCTGCTCTTAAATTTTGTTTATTTATTTGGTAAATAAGGCAAGAAGTTGATAAATAAGGCAAGAAGTTTGGTAAATAAGGCAAGAAAACTAAAAGATAAATTTTTCAATAAATTATTTTAAGATAGGTGTATGTAATTTCATTTAACAAAATGGTAAAATATAAATCATAAAAAAAATAAGATAATAATTTTAATTAAAGGAATCAATTACGGCAAATAAAATAAAAGAAGTGAGATTTAAGTGAAATTAAGTTTTGTATTATTTTCTTTTTGGTGGCAAAAGTGAGTCAAAAAAGTCCGGAATTGCATCAACTCGATCTTTCGGTTTTTCCACAAAACCACGACTGTTTGTTGTAGTTGAACCAATATTTTTTGAAGGTGTTTTCTTTGCTCTCTGAAAAAATATTAGGTTTAAATAAGTTTTAGTCTTTAATAATTGCCTTGAAAGGATTATTAGCAGGACTGCTATCGAGAAGAAATGAATCTGAAAGTAATGCAGATCCAAGTGCAGAACTAGCAATGCTTGTATTTAACTCTCCTTGTTCATCATCCTCTCCATCACTGGGAATACTTGAATTTTCAATAATTTGGTCATTATGTTCTTTTCCATTTGTTTCAAAAACTGTAAAGCCATCGTTTAAATTTTCTATTGGCTCGACATTTTCATTAATTACTCGCGTTTTTCCAATATCCTTCCTTAATAATTATTGAATTTTTGAAAAAAAAATAATTTAAATATATACACAATATTAACTGAAGAATTACTTGTAGTACTTGTAAAAAGTGAAGATGGAGTTTTTCTTTTAGCCACAAGAATTTTAGAAGGTGCAATTATAGGCGATCGAATTTCATTGATAATGGATGAAGATGAGGGAAGCGACGGATGAATTTTTCTTTTAAATTTTGCCCTCTCATCTTCTTTATTTTTTTCATTTTCAATTGCTTGAAGACGTTCACGTCCAATTGCTGCTACCTAGGAAAATAAAAAAAATTTAATTTCAATAAGAATAATTTAAAAACCTTTTCACTCAAAACAGGTCTTTGGATTTTAGCTGCGTAGTTGCATAGACCTTGAACAATTTTTGAATTAATAGATCTATGAGCAATTTCCACTGCTCGATTCTCTCTATTCATCTAAATACAGAAAAGATATTAAAGAAATAAAACATTTCCAAGAAACCTTGCAAGAAACAGAAAATAATTTCATTAAATTTGCAATATAATTATTTGTTAATTGCTCTGCTTCTACCAAATGTTCTGGTCTAATTAAATCACTTTGTTGATGAATAAATCGTTCCGGAGCACGAAAGAAATTAGTATTGTGAAATAAAAATTAGGTATATATCAATAAATGATAAATATATATTTTAAAAAATATTTTATTTTTTATTACTTTCCTTCCTTTTTATTACTAAAAACACTAATATTTATAAAAGAATAGTGGAATTAATGAGTTTATTTCTGATATTTATCCCAGCCAGCACAAAGTGTATGTCCTTTCATTTCAATTCCATTGATACCGGAAATAGCATTTTCCGCCTCCTGTTTAGCTTGAAATTCGCAAAAACCACGTCCTGGACGAATTTTGTTGCGGTCAAATTTAACGCTAAAATTATGAACCTTATTTGAAAATAAGACAAAAATACCACAAGGCTTTTATAACACCATAAGTAGCACACAATTTATAAATATCTCCATATGGTGTATTGTACGGAATGTTATCAACTAAATGTAGAAATATAAACTATAAATGTGGATATAAAAGCCCGAATTTATACTAAATAAAAGACTGACACGATTGGACCTGTTCATGGATACGGATAATTTTCGATACCACGGATATATATGGATTCGGACACATATAAATAGTGCTCCAAACTTGGCCTCATCACTAAAGACCTTTTAATAGCCATTAAATTTAAACAAAATCTCCCCAAATTTTTAAATTTACTATAGATAATAAATAGCGGTGCATTCATATTTTCGTCTCCAAAATTTGTTTAAAATTTGAAAGCTGAAAAATCAAAAATCCAAATTAGAAAATCCTTAGTTAAGCGGTTTAAGTAAATTTTTGTATGTATTAAAACATTCGTTTAAGTTCGAAGTTAAAAAATTTTTTATTTAATAAAATTTATATAGGTATGTAAGAGATCCTCAAAATTAAAAAAATTTAATAAATTAAAACATAAAACATCAGTCAAGATTTTTTCTTTATAATTAAATGTAATAATTTCCAAAAAGTATTTGCCTAGAAATAAAAAAATTAGAAAGTTTAAAAGAAGGTACAAACGCATTTAGCCCATAGGAGTCATACAGCATTTTCTTTAGAATTTTTGATTGGAAATAATTGCAACAATCCCGAGAACGAGGAACTCTATTTATTTTATAATCATTATTTTTCCAGACAAAAATGTCATCATCTCGTAATCCAAAACATTCCAACTGAAATTTAAAAAAATATTTTTAGTTTTAAACTGAAAATAACATCAAAATGAAAAAAGGCTTTCAATCTTCCATTGTTTTTTAGAATGGTGGCGATTTGTTGATAGAACATTCCCAATTCAGTTTTACCACAAAATAATGTACATTTAAAGGTTTCTAAATCCTAAAATTTTTAAATATAAAATATTAGGAATTAAATTCTTACTCTTAAACTATCAAATATCCTCAGTACATAATCCATTCGCAGAAAAAACTTCATATCGTAGCGAAATTCAATGTTCTTAAATAATAACAGTATACTTGTTAATATCTTAATTCTTACTTTTAAAGTGTTTCTTTTATTCAAGCTGTCTAATACATCAAATAAAAAATCATCAAAGCTTTGCCAATCAAAAACAAACTGAAATTTATTAAATTAATTTATAATAAAATTGATCAGAAACGTCATGAAAGGGTGCTACGCCAAACTCGTCAGTTAAAACAATTTGTAAAGAAAGAGAAGAAAGTTTTTTAAAATTGTAAAGCTCTAATAAATCATTTTGATTTTCAATCCCAGTTCCACTGTTTGACCACTCAAAATCCAAATGTATTAATTCCTCACAATTATAGGCAATTACTGATAAATCAGTCTAAAAAAATTTTAAATAAAAAAATATAAATTAATGCCTTGTTGAGTTTAATTCTTTTAATCTGCAATGCTCGTAGAGACTTCAAGGATGGATGAGAATATATGGATTCCCGATCAGTTGTAATAAAAAATGGAGAGTAAAAGCTTTAAATTAAATTTTTATTATTATAAAAATATATCCAAATTAAAAGAAAACTTTTATTGAAAAAGTTTTTGATATTCATTAATAAATACCAAAGAAAGGTAAGTTAATTTGATAGGGCATTCACATGACTTAAGAAAACTAAGACTAAAGTGGGATATCACATAAAGACGGATTCTGAATATGTTAAAAAGCTGAAAATTTAAGGGCTTTGCTAAAGAAAGGATATGCTATAGAATCTATTAATTAAAAATATACCTATGCATTTTAGTACCATCAGGCTTATTTAATAATACGAAACAAAGTCTGGGACACGTTTCAATAACTTGATTTAAAGCACTGTCTGAATAATCATGCATAAATAACTGGATTAAGGTTGGAGGCAAGAATTGTTGTTGGCCAATTTCTTTAAACCTCTCAAAAATTCGATTTATTCTATTAACACGAAGGCACTTGAGTTTTTTGCAATTTTTAACCAGAAATAAAAATGCATCAACAGATTCTTCCTGCTAAAAATGAATAATTATGCAAGTATTCGAACCGACTAGATTAACCCACCCAAATTTAATTGACAAAGAAAATTAAATATTTTTAATTAAAAAATCGAACCGGTTGTAGAACTAGACCCAATGAAAGGAGATTAGGCGCTAAAAACTCCTCAATCCGATTTAAGTGCCAAACATCAATCGGTTCCTCCATAGAAAAGTGTGTAAGAGAAGTCAGTGAACGAAAATGGCGGCCGACAAAAGAAGATCTTGGTACTCCATAACAAAGACGGAGACTTTTCAAATACACTGCATAACGAAGAATTATAACATTAAACGCCTTTATCTATAAATGATAGCAAATAATTAAAATCGTATAGATAATAACCATTTTTAATTCAACGTTCCCCGATTCCATATCAAGCCAATTACATGTTTCTTTGGAGAAATTTAAATACTTTATATTACACCACTTTTGACAATCAACAGCAAACAAAGCACAAATAAGTTCAAGCCTAAGTCGACTGGTGTGATTAAAAAACTCGAAAATTGAACACTTTAAAATAATTAATAGATTAAGTTTAAATATATAAAATCCAACCAAAAGTTCTAAAGGCATTTTTGTATTGCTTTGGATCAGCATTAATTCCGATATTAAATTTTGTTTATTTATATTTAAATAAGGCAAGAAGTTGTTGTAACTAAAAGATAAATTTTTCAATAAATTATTTTAAGATATATGTAATTTGATTTAACAAAATGATAAAATAAAAATCATAAAAAATAAGATAATAATTTTAATTAAAAGAAATCAATTAAAAAGGGCAAATAAAATAAAAGAAGTGAGATTTAAGTGAAATTAAGTTTTGTATTATTTTCTTTTTGGTGGCAAAAGTGAGTCAAAAAAGTCCGGAATTGCATCAACTCGATCTTTCGGTTTTTCCACAAAACCACGACTGTTTGTTGTAGTTGAACCAATATTTTTTGAAGGTGTTTTCTTTGCTCTCTGAAAAAATATTAGGTTTAAATAAGTTTTAGTCTTTAATAATTGCCTTGAAAGGATTATTAGCAGGACTGCTATCGAGAAGAAATGAATCTGAAAGTAATGCAGATCCAAGTGCAGAACTAGCAATGCTTGTATTTAACTCTCCTTGTTCATCGTCTTCTCCATCACTGGGAATACTTGAATTTTCAATAATTTGGTAATTATGTTCTTTTTCATTTGTTCCAATAACTGTAAAGCCATCGTCCGCATTTTCTATTGGCTCAACATTTTCATCAATTATTCGCATTTTGCTAATATTCTTCCTTAATAATTTTTGAATTTTTGAAGAAAATAATTTAAATATATACCCAGAATCAACTGGAGAATTACTTGTAGTACTTGTAAAAAGCGAAGACGGAGTTTTTCTTTTAGCCACAAGAATTTTAGAAGGTGCAATTATAGGCGATCGAATTTCATTGATAATGGATGAAGATGAGGGAAGCGACGGATGAATTTTTCTTTTAAATTTTGCCCTCTCATCTTCTTTATTTTTTTCATTTTCAATTGCTTGAAGACGTTCACGTCCAATTGCTGCTACCTAGGAAAATAAAAAAAATTTAATTTCAATAAGAATAATTTAAAAACCTTTTCACTCAAAACAGGTCTTTGGATTTTAGCTGCGTAGTTGCATAGACCTTGAACAATTTTTGAATTAATAGATCTATGAGCAATTTCCACTGCTCGATTCTCTCTATTCATCTAAATACAGAAAAGATATTAAAGAAATAAAACATTTCCAAGAAACCTTGCAAGAAACAGAAAATAATTTCATTAAATTTGCAATATAATTATTTGTTAATTGCTCTGCTTCTACCAAATGTTCTGGTCTAATTAAATCACTTTGTTGATGAATAAATCGTTGCAACTCGATAGTCATCAATTCTGCCTCCAATTTTCCTTTTTCTGAAGTCTAAATTAAAAATATTTTAATTGATAACAAAATCTATTGTTAATTATAATTCTATTCACCGGATTAATAACTGGAATTTTAAGAGGAGTTGTATTTGTTGGCAAAGATGATTTGTTCACTGGTGGATATTTGGAGTTGCGACAATAAAAATAACGAAAATAAGCATTTGGAAGTTCACATAAAGCAATTGGCCAAATATAATCATCGTCTGGATTTTTCAACAGATCCATTCCCAAAAGTACAGGAAACCAAACTCCTTTGGCTTTTAAATAAATTCGAATGTTGCATTCTGAAAAATATTTTTTAGAAAAAGATTTTAGCAATTCAAATTAACCATCATCCATCGAAACTAAATTGCCAAAATTTGTAAAATTAAGCCATTGAAGTTTCGAGTAAAGCGACATAGCCAAAGGTATAGTATATTCTAGAGAAGGTGCACATTCCCCAAATAGTGAATTAACTTCGTATACATTAACTGCAAGCTAAAATTAAAAAATTGTGTAGAAAACTCAAATTCATTTTGTAACCTGATGTTCATAATCATCATCTGTAATGACAAGTACGGCACCGGTAACGTAAGCAACTGCTAACTTGTTTTCGTGTGCACAAATCGTATGAAAATGTCCTAAATAAAAAAAAATATGGAAGAATATGTGATGAAACCTGGAATCGAAAAAACAAAACGTTGCGTGCCGCCAGAAGTGAAAATACGCAAAAATCGAAGATCGGTAGCGATGGCAATAAAATTTTTGCCAATGCAAAGTCCTTCAATCTGTTCGCCTTCATCCATTACTTGAGTCCATTGACGAGCATCGTGATCCCAACTATTTCAATGTAATATAAAAATCATTTAATTAAAAACTCACCAAGTAACGTGATTAACAAACAATACACTCTCCACATTTGAATCTTTCTTTGAAGCCAAGGCAATTATATCAGCACCAATGCTGCCATATACATACTTTGATCTTGAATTGTCCATAATAATTTCATGATGAATACTTGAATCATGAAAGTTTATTTCGATTGAACTTTCGTCGTTGCTGTCGTTTAGACTTTTGATTATTCCAAAAGTATTCCAAGCCTGAAAAATTTTTTTTTGAGATTTAAATGGCTAAAGTATTTTTCTGAATTAGATAAAATCTATTTTTTATATATCTACATATAAATAAACATTCTTGAAATCAATAACTAACCAAAAATCTTCCGCCATCATCAGAAGCAGGTGTTGATCCGATAGAGAATGGTTTAGGTACTCGCATTCCTTTTATTGTTGTACAAGGATCTTTTTGTGTAAGCATATTTGCCAGGTCATTAGTATTGAAAAGTTTTCTTTCGCCAGCTGGAATATCGCTTTGGCCATAACCGAATTGTGACTTAAATTTTATTGAAAATTAAAAATAAATTCTTAATTTTTACCTTTATTAAGCCAAGATCTGTCTCCATTTCTAAAAATAAAAATTATTTAGAATTTACCAAAAAAATGTTTTACCATCAAATTTATCATCATTATCAATTTCAACAAGCTCTCCACGATTATCTTCAGCATTATTTTCAGAAACAACTGAAGAGGGACTTCCAGCTTCAACCATATTGCGTGAATTATTTATTTTTGCATTAACTTTGCCTTGTAGTGAAGTGCAAAACTGTTCGAAACGAGTATCAACAGCATTACAATCCGTCATTGAACAAATATATCCCTCAAATTAATTTAAAGAAATATTTAGAAATTGGAAAAAAACCTCCGAAAATGCGATTAACAACACATCAGAACTTTGAGGATTAAAAGCAATCGAAGTAATAATTCCAATATCTGATTGAATCTTTTTGTAAACATTAATTAATTGAAATTTTGAATCAGAAATTCGTTTCCAGATAACAATAGAGCCCTCAGTCGTCCCAGCAGCTAAAAACGATTCATTGGACGAGTTAAGAGATAAAACAGAAAAATTTTCCTAAAATCAAAATTAAAAATAAGGAGTAAAAATAAACAAACATAATCAACATCTGGATGTGTAAGCAATGTCTTTCTATCCCATGTCAAACAATCAACAACAATAATTCCACCTCTTCCGGGAATAAATAAATATTTGCATTGAGGATCCCATACACATTGAATTCGAGGGCATTGAATTCTGAAATTAACGAGAAGGAAAAATATTAAAACAATTTTAGTTTGAAAAATACCCTTATAAATTAAACTTAAAAAATATTTGGTGATTGCTAAATCACAATCGAGCAACAAAAATTGAATTAAAATAATAAAAAATAGCCTACTTTGCTATAGAGAATTCATTACAAGCCTTAAACTTGGCAATCGGTTTCTTGGAAGTGGAAGTTTGTTGATTTTTTTGAATTGGACGAATATGGACATTCCCATCAGATGTCGAAACGGCAAAATACTCTCCACTTGGACTTATTGAAATGTTTAAAATTGCAGCTTTAAATTGTCAATATTTTATTTCAAACGATTTAAAAAATACCTTCAAATTCATAACGTTCAATGGATGACTGGCCTGAGGTAGTATCCAATCGGACAGATTTAACCATAAAATCACTTAAATCTCAATTTAAAATAATTTATACAAAATTAAAACAAACCCTGAACCTGCAATTAAATAAATTCCATTCGTTGCCAAAGCAGTCACTTCAAGAGAAAATGATAAAAATGCATGAGAAGGAAGAAACGATGAAAGACCATAACGAACAACAACTTGCTGATCAACGCCAGTAATTACATCTTGACTTGTTTGGGCCAAATAGACATCTTCTCCCTATATAAAATTTAATAGAAAATGAAAAATAGATTGAAATGAATTAGTGTGAAATGAAAAACTCGGAGAAAAAAATTCACAGAGAAACGGATAAACTTATAGTTATAAAAATAAAAAGATACAAAAACAGCCAAAGCGCCGTGACATCTATCAGCTGTGTTTCTTATGTCCACATCGAGTGAACCTCGTTCATTACACGTCCACAAACCAAATGTATCATCAGAGCTGCAACAATAAATCTAAAAAGAAAATTAAACCAAATCTAATGTTATTTCTAGTTTATACATTTTTTTGATCAGTTTGACTTTGATCTACAGCAAGAGTGAGTCGACCATTTGCATGAATCCGTTTTGAACGAGTAATTACCATCCTTTAAAAATCTAGTTGTAATTAAAAGATAATTGTAAATGAATACGATTAGAATGTTAAATATATTTTTGATTAATTTAAAATAATTAATTATAACAGAAAAATTAAATTTATTGTTAGCATATTTATTTTCACAAATCATAAAATTGAAATGTACAAATATATATAAATGGATTGGACATAAAAACAAGAATAATTAAGTAAAGTCCAATCCCCATTATTATCAATTTTTGAGTGAATGATTATTTTATAAGTACACTGAAAAAAAATATTTAAAATTGAGATAAATCATCACAGGGAAGGCTCCTTTCTAAAGGCACAAGTAATTTTATTGCAAACGTCCCGAATCTGTTGTTTGCTTCCTTTCGCCCCCAAGCCAAGTAAATCAAGTGGTTTTTCGTCGTGGCTAAAATTAAAAAAGTTGAAAAAACAGAAATAAAATAGTTAAATTCAAAACATTAAGGCAGGGAAAGGCGTCAAGAGCAATTGCTAGTAACTTTAAAGGTTTTTAAAAGAATTAATACACCCCAACTATATACTTATATTCTTCCTTTAGAAAGTACATTTGTTAAAAAAATCGAACAAAAATATTTGAAAAATTAGAAAAAAATTTGGACAACCCAGGAGAATTGTGGTCCCTGCGAAAAAAAAAGTTTAAAAATAAGAAAAAGGTTTTTTCTAGGGTAAAAAATTATGCTGATTAAGAATCTGAACTCAGATTTTGAAAAAGTCGAATCCTGAACACGAATATATGCCCTCGAATATCGAAAAACCATAGGGGGGACCAAGCTGATTTTGGGGTGAAGAATTGGAATATGCAAATTATACCTCACTCGAAAGAGCTCTTCAAGCTGAGTCGAATGACACCAAAATCACCGTGATTGAACAAGATCGGACGAAGTTATACCACAAAAAACAAACAACGTAGGCCAGGCCCGTAGCCAGGGGGGGGGTGAGGGGGGGAATTCCCCCCCCCCCCCCCCCCCCCGAAATGGGAAAAAGGAAAAAATTTGGGGAAGGGCTGGGGCAAAAAAAGTGAATTTTTTGGCCTACGGCCTCTGAAATTTAAAAAATTTTCGCCTGCGGCGCTAAAAAAGGAAGAAATCTGGCTTCTTGAGGTCCAAAATTCAAAAAATTTTCGCCTGCGGCGCTGAAAATCAAATTTTTGGCGCCTGCGGCGCCGAAAAAGTGAATTTTTTTGGCCTACGGCCTTCTAAAATTCTCAAAATTTTCGCCTGCGGCGCTGAAAATAAAAATTTTTGGCGCCTTCGGCGCCAAAAATTTGGCGCAGAAAAATTTTTCCCCCTTTCCCCCCCCCCCCCCCCCCGAAAAAAAATCCTGGCTACGGGCCTGACGTAGGCCTATGTTTTTTGTGTCATAACTTCGCCTGATCTTGATCAATTGTGATGATTTTGATGTCATTCGACTCTGCTCGTCGAGCTCTTTCGAATGAGATATTATTTGGCCAATTTGCGCTCTGTTTATTATACGAAATTTTCCCAAAAATGTCAAATGTTCGAATTTCGGGTTCGAATTTGATTTTTTCAAAATCTGAGTTCAGATTCGTGATCAGCATATTTTTTTACCCTAGAAAACCCCTTTTTCTTATTTTTAAACTTTTTTTTCGCAGGGACCACAATTCTCCTAGATTGCCAAAATTTGCAAACTTGTTTATCGGCTCTCGTTTACAAACACGAAAATTCAATAAAGCATCAACTATTTCAAAATTGGCCATTTTACATGCATAATGTAAAGGTGTGTAATTCTGCAATTTATCTGGTGTGTTCAACATAGCATCTAATAAATTTGCAGAACGTTCAATAACACAAGTATCGGTAGAATAGGCATTTGTAAGCCAAGCTTTGTCGCAAATGAAAGTAAGAATTTTTTGCACCTAATAATGTTAAAAATAATTTTTAGACTTTTAAATGAGCATACCGCCACAAAATTAGAGGCACGACAGGCAACATGTAAAGCATTATAACGATTACCAATTTGTATTATTGTCGGCTAAAATTCAAAACTTATATTTTTTAAAAATAAAAATTTTATTTAAAGTCTAAACCAAATCATTAGAAGTATTGACAAGAAAACGGGGACTCTCACTCAGTAATTCATCAAATTTAGCATGATCCCCCTTCTCAATTGCCACTCTAAAATCTGTCAGTCTTCTCGCAGGAATCTCTTTGTAAGGCAAATCTTGTTCTATACTAGAGCTAGATGAATTGTTGTCTTCCGTGCAAGTGCTGGCAGAGAGTTGTTCATTATAAAAACTATCAAAATCATTTTCATCTTGGCACCGTTTAAAGCGTGTTCCTAAAAAAACAAAATTTATTTAAACCAAATTTAAATCAAAACCTTTTCTTTTCCCAACTGGAGAATCCAAAAACGATTTTAATTCGTTAAAGTTGTGAAAAGCATAACGTTCAGGCGAGTCTGGAACAAAAGCCGCAAAAATTTTAGAATTTGTCCGTTTAATCTAAAAATGTGGGGGCAAATAATTTTTAAAGAAATTCTTTAAAAACCTTCGGAGTTACAAAAGTTGGAGGCAGATCAGATTCTATTTGTGAATTTAGTTTTTCTGGCGATCCTTGTTCGTTCTGTGAACATTTTGATGCATTTGAATTAGAATCCAAAGCGTTTAAATTTTCCGAATCAGTAATAATTGGTTGAGGTAAAGGAGTACTCCAATATCTTGATATATAATTTCCCATCTTTTAAAGTTAATTAAATCTAAAAGCAACTGAAAAAAATAGTTTGCGAGTAAAAATAAAACGAAAGAAGAAACGAAATAAATCAAAAATCCATGACATTTTGATGAAACAACATTTTAAAAAACGATGTTTTGTCTAAACACAGGGTGGAAAGCGACTTTTAAGTAAACGACAAAATGACACACTCAATATGGTCTGCGATTTTAGTCTTGTTGAATGAAAATCGTTTTTTTATATTTTTTCCGTTTATTCTTTTAAGATTTTCTGTTTTCAAGAATATTTTTTTAATTTTTAATTTCCAATGCTGTCAGCAACTGGAATTTTGAGGAGAATATCTTTCCCATCTTTTGCTTCAACATGTGAGTGTTTTTAATTTAAATAAAACTTCAAATACATTTTTAGATTCAACTACAATGGAGGAAATGGATGAAATACGTGCTAGAAGGTATACTCTACCATCATTCCATATCTTTTTTTATTTTTAGTTTACTCAAACACACTTATGTTTACAATCCACCAGATGAACTTGACAATATTATTGTAAACGCGGCAAAACATCACGGACTTCAATTAGATCCTTCTGACTGGAAAACTACTGAAATACCTTTAGATAACAGAAAATCAAAGGTTTAAAAATTAAAATTTTAATAAAATTTTGTAGTTTCTTCTTGATCTCGGACGTTCTCTTAAACATCTTGTTCCAAATTCGAAACTTCATAAAATGAAAAGTCTACGTGATTTGTTCGAATTTTATGAACAGCCAGTTAATAATATTACGAAATACGCGGAGCTTGCGAGGAATGAGAAATTGCCTCAAAATCTTGCAATAATGGGTAAAATTAATTTACTTGGATTATTAAAAATATTTTTAGAACAACCGAGACGTTTTCATCCAAATGACAAAACTGCTTTACATGGGGGAATAACTGCAAAACCGGGGGAAGGAGGAACTATTTATTCAATAAGGAATAAAAGGATTTATCGAGAATTTAAGCCAAAAAAGGAATGGTTTGACTATGATGATCAAAATTTTGATTATGACGTTACTTTATCGAAAGGTTTTAATTTTTCTGATTTTTAATAATTTTTGGGAATGTAATTAGGGTTGGGGTTTTCGAGTTGGGGCGACGCTCGAGTCCAATTTTTCCGGCTTTATTTTTTCGGGCCGGCCCGACCGAGTCTTTTTCGGGCCCTCGACTCGATCTTTCGGACCGGGCCCCCAACCCTAAATATAATACACTTCGAATAAAAATGAACGAATCCCTCTGCAAAATACAAAATAACACAATAATTCGTTAGAATTTTCAGGAATGCCTTGGGATCCTGAAATTGCAAATAAAATGGATTGCTACACAAATATCAAATTTACAAAGGAATATTTGCGCAAAATGAGATAAATTTTAAACTTCACAATTATATTAGATTTATTAAAATAAAAAATGGAATGTTAAAAATGAAAATTGATGTTTAAAAAATAGAGAGATTTAATCCGAATTTTTATCAGTGTTGGCACTTTCTGTGCTTTTACTTCTTTCCTTTCCTCTCTTTTCACCAAAAGTAATTTGAACATTGGCATTATCAAAATACGTTTCGCGACTGTCTTCTTTAAGTACCAATGCATATCCTCGTTCATATAATTGAAATCTTCGAGCCAAGGTCATCTAAAATTTTAGAAATTGGCAGGAATTTTTCGGTGTTTGTTAATTGAAATGATTTTACATACGCTCTTTAAGTCAATTGTCAATTGCAGTAACCCTCCCCGGCTAGTCAATCAGAATGATCAATAAATTGCAAGTTCTCACGTTCAAGGAGAGTTACTCTAACTTTTAAAGAAATTAAATACCTTTTTCTGTTGAATGAATTCCTCAGCTGCACGATCACCATCTTTCCCATAAGAAGCAAAATTTTTTTGAATAGCCTAAAAATGGAAGATTATTTTTAATAAGAAAAATCGGGATATATTAGAAACATTTTAAAATACTTTAGGGCATAAAAAGGTAAATCTTAAAGGTTTCCTGCCTAACAAAAACTAAAACAAAGCTCTAGTCAAACCAGACTTAAATAAAGTTTAAGAAAGCCAAACCTCCATTCCCTTGATTGGAATAATTGTAAACGACCTTCGGCATGATTGGTCTTCTTCCATCCTTGTTAATTGGCCTTTTTGTTAATATTAGTAAAAAATGAAAAAAATTAAATAAATATTAAATAGCAAAATTAATATTGCCATTGAAAAATTCTTCAAAAAAGAAAATTTTATTTAAATATAGAAAGTAAAGAAAAATCACAAAAATATATCTAAAACAGGTTTTAACCAAGACCATTATCTTCGAAAAATCCTTGCGTAGTCTCCTCCTAAATTAAAAAAATAATTGATTGGTGGATCTCCACAACGCAAGCGATAATTTTTTTCGTTCTAGACATTCTCATAATTTTTTAAATTTTCAAGGCTTACGTCTGTGAGCTCAAAATGGTTTAGATACGAATGTCAGAGTCCGATCCCTTCTTACTAGACCTATGTTTACAACATTTAAAACTAACGTCTTGCAAAAGATCCTGAGCACTGATTGCCTTCAAAACTTGCTTTTTACTTGTTTCCTGAACTTCTCCAGCTAGCAAAAATTCGTCCAATATAAAATAGGCCTTTTCAAAGTTGAAAATTATATCTAATTCGCAAACCTTTAAATTATTTTATAAACAATAAAATTCAAAACAAACATACACTTCCAAAATATCGATCCAATAATTCAACATAACGATGAATAACTTCCAAACAAATAAGCTCATTGTCTGACTGCTCAATTGTACAACAAAAATATAGAGAAGCATATCTTTATAAATTATTTTTAAGGCAAATTAAAGGCCGATAAATATACCTTTTGTAAACAACTTTCAAATCCTTATATTCCAAAAATGCACACATCTTCGGTTTCCTCGCTAAAATTGTTGTGACCAATTCACGTGTGATTTTCTTTTTAACCTATTAAATGTATGCGTAATATGTTAGAAATTAGGAATTAAAAACAAACCTTATCAGGATATGCTACATACCATTTCTGCAAACGAAGTTTACCTTGTCTGGAAAACAATAACATATAATGTATCATGTTTAGTTGAAAAAATTTTCTATAAAAATTTTAAAAAATATGTAAATTAACATAAAAATAGAAGTATAAATACGAAAATATCACAATTAAAAATTATATTCTTCAAATGAAAATTTTAGAATTTTATTTAGATTTGGCAAAAGAAATAACAATGTTCATTAAAAATAATTAAAATAAATCCCCGTAATTGTAAAAGTTTAGTTTTTTTGGAGTACCGTTTTGGAGATTTGAGTCGGGAAAGGTTTGAGGTTCAGTTAAAATCGATATTTCGAAAAAAAATCTCGATAACCGAGATTTTTGAAGCGTCATGTAAGTACTATCACCCCATCCCGCCTATATTTTTGGGTATGGCTTATTATTAACGATAGCAAAATGAAATATTAAATTTATATTAGGAAAATATTTAAAATAGAAATCTCATTAGTATTTTAAGAAAATAAAAGTCAAAAATTAATTATTATGTATCATAAATATTATTTAGTTTTTAAATCCGTTAACTTTGAAATATTTCTTTGCTCCTTGATTTTAAGGCATTTATTAACCAATTGACACTCTTTTTTACACCGGCATTTTGTTTTGCCTGAAAAAACATTTTTTTCACAATCATAAAAAGCTCTCCTTAACAAAACAAAATTATTTATCAGACTTACAGAAATTGAGAAAATAGCCACATCTCCTTGCAAAACTTCTCCCAAACGGCTGTCAATTTCTGATTTTATTTCAGCCGTCATTGACGTCGATACAGGAATTGTTGACGAAAAAGACGACGAACCATAATCACTATTTTGTTCCCAATCTCCACTAATTCCTTCGGTGTTGTCTAATTCAAAACTTCTCCATCCGCCAGAAGTTGACTGAAATGTTGTTTGTTGAAAATCATCTTTGCTTATATCACTTGAATTTTCATTATCTTTAACTACATAATCTTCTTTATATCCATTTATTTGTAAAGGAGACATTTCATTATCACATTTATTTAAAAGGACGAGGAAAGGTTGTTTTTGTACATTTGAATTTGACAAAATTTGTTCTACAAGAAAAATTGAAAAAATTTTTAAATCAATTTAAATAAACCTAAACACGAAATAGCTTCACTGGAGCGTTGACTATCGACAGAATCTACTACAAAAATAGTGGCATGACATTCTTTTATATAATCATCCCAAATATATCTGAGATCTGCTTGGCCACCCAAATCACATAAATTCAAAATAAATTCGTTTAAGACAATTTTGGAGTCTAAAAGTAGAAATGAAAATTTAAAAAAGAATAAAGTCAGACGATTCAATCCAACAGTGCTAGTGATCTTGTGTAAATCGCGTTCTTTATGCCTATTGTCTAGTAACCTCTTGACCATTTCTAAGTAGGTCTGAAAAATAAAAAGAGAAAATTATTTTAAAATATTAAAAATGTTTTACTTATGGATGCGTAGATAAGTTTATGTTGTGGTCCTAACCCATATCTAACATAAGGTTAATTAACGGTTACAAAGATTACAATTTATGGGAGGTCAGTGTTGAAAAGTTATAATTTATTTTCTATTATACGGCCAACGGAGGACCGAACGATTTTATACATAGACGGACCTAAAGGGGCCGAAAGTTCTGTGAAATATCATGCTGGCAAAAATATAATTCACTAACCGTTTTTCCAGCTCCGTCTAGACCTAAGATTGTTATAAAATATTCTTCACGCTTTGAAATTTCTTCATAAACACCCTTAACCAATGCAAACATACTCTAAATTTTTATTTAAGATATTAAATTTTAAACAAAAAACAATGAAGAATAGACAACTTCTAAAGAAAAATATTTAGAAATTCAAAAAAAAATTTATTTAGAAAATGTTATTATAAACCCTTTTTCTCTATATTTTTGGCTAATTCTTCATTATAATTTCTATATTCTGGTTTAAGCTCCCACATTGATTTATGAGGTGCACTGTCATGGTAAAGACCAATGTCATTTAACTTTAAAATATAAATTTTATTTTTGTCAAAATAAACAAAAAAAAACTAACCACATCTCGCACCATACCCGCTGGTTGATTTGTCAATTTTTGGAGATCAATTTGCCTGAAAAATAAACGAGAATTTTAATTTGTAAGAAAGTCTTTCTTTAAAAAAGTGTCTCCTCCATTTTTAAATTTATAGTAGTTCAAGATAAGAAAGTCTCCCTAGACACATTCACAACAAGTGAAAGATATAAAACCGGCAAAAATTTCCGAGGAAAAAATTTATGGTTGTAGCTTTTGAAGTAAATTGAAGCAATTTACAAACCTATAAAACTGATGTTTCTCAAATGCATGAAAAAGTAATTTTACAACATCATCCTTCTCCAACCGAACAGCTCGTGTTCCTTCTTTTTTAGCTTTATCTTTAGCTATATGTTCTTGGTGAGCATTTATTGGTTTGTATTTAACAACAGCCCGTTCAACTTGTTGTACAGTCTTTTTCGGTTGACTAATCTTTTGTATTTGTTGAATCTTCATTTTCATATAATCAACAGAATTTGGTGGTTGACATTCAGCACGAATAACAATCTGAAAAAATATTTTTGAAATTATCTTGTAAATAATGAACGGAAAAAAATTCAAAAATTTAAAGGAGATTTGGCAAAAATGTATAAATTTGTAAAAAATATTTAAAAGTGGAAGGAAGAATCCAATTTGCTTCCAAAGATATTATTGACATATACCTAATTATTACAAATTAACTGAATCTGGAAATAGAATTTCTTTTCCATCCGCTTCCATTTTATAATGAAAAAATGTCAAAAAAATTCCTTACCCTTCCCTCAATGCTTAATTTTCCAGTTACTAAATCAGAATCTTCCTCTAAACCAGATTTGTCTTCAGAGAGAACAGCGAAGGATTGATTCTTCACATCTCTGCAAAAAAACAATATTTTCGTTTAAAAATATTCCAAAAACCTCGTAATAAATTTGTGTTGTTGAGGAATATCCATAATTTTGGAGTCAGTAGATTTTTGATTTGCTTTATTTTGTGATGAATTAAATACCGATTGCTTGTCTGAAGATACTTCAGTAATATTGCTATGAAAAATTGTTTCTCCACCAACTTGATGAACTAATCTGCCAACAACTTCCCCAGCCCTCTTCTCCCAAACTTCAGAAAGATAACGAGGCACTTTAACTAACCATATACCCCTCGAGGCTTTTTCTGTACTAACAGGAGGAACAGGATCAGATGCTGAACGTTTAGTTGCCATTTAAAAAAAAACTAAAAAATGATAGAAAAATATAAACAAACCAAGAAAAGGTAAATATTGAATATTACAAATTAATAAAATAAAGCTAAATTACAATTAAAATTTTTTCCAAATAATTAACATGTCAAAAATTTAACATTTTTATTATAAATTATTAAGTAACAATCAGCGTTTCAAAAGCCGATTCCCACAGAAAAGAGTAAGCGATCCGATAAGTGCAAGCCATTTGAGGGTTTCAAACATGTCTAAAAAATAAATCGTTAAAAAATTCCCAGAAAATTATTGTAAAAATATAAACAGTTCCCCAAGAATAATAATAATAAAGCGAATTAAAGCAAAAAATACCTGTATCAGAACGAAGCCAATGAGAAGCATAAAGACCAAATATAGCAGACAGACCAGTATGGAAGCCTGAAATGTTAAATTGTTTTAGTATAAAAATTAAATAAAAAAATCTGAAAAAACCTAGAGTCCAAGGAAATTTCATGTTGCCAAAGTTAAAGCCGACACGGAACCACTGAAAATAAATTATTGAAAATTTCTACAATATTTTTAAAAAATAAATAAAAACTAAAAATCATTTTAGGTAATTATTAAAATTAAAAATAAACCAAGAAAAGCAAAATTAACAAAGGAGCAGCACATATAGCTGAGAAGACATCAGAAACGATAACAGGAGGGCGAGAATCACTCACTTGAAATTGGTGCTGAATTTCAGGCAATTTTTCGTAATTAAATTTCATTTTAAATGTCTGAAAAACGTTTAAAATGTTGTATAAAAAAGTAGAGTGTATATAATTTACTCAGAAATAGTTTAAAAAAATATCCGATCCCAGCTGATCATAAAAAAAATTCAGCCACGCGCGAATTCCAAAAATAAATACAAAGTGCCAAAAAACTTTAATCTGCCAAAAAAGTTTATTTAAAAATATTTACTATTTCGCTGTTTCTCTAATTCTTTTCCTCTTTATTTGAGTCTGAGTGCTATTAGAGTCTTCATCAAGTTGGTTAAAGATCTGGTACTTTTTCTCTATGATATGATTGACACGTTGATTAGTTCATTTTTGTAGTTGCTTTAGAAAGTTTATATTTTAATTTCTTAGTTATGTTCGCCTGTATTGTATGTTGGTTATTGTACTTTCAATCTTCATTTGCGCAAATTGAACAACCTCAAATATTAAGACGATTCGAATACAAACACTCATTTAGAACACCACATCTTGCTCAAAGAGATGGAACGATTCCATTTTGGACAGTTACTGGTGATGCCATTGCAAGTGGTGAACAACTTAGACTTGCACCTTCAATGAGAAGCAAGAAAGGACTTGTAAGTTTTTTCTCAATTTTAACACAAGTTTATAAATAAATTTAGGCTTGGAATAAACGGCAATTTGTGGCAAGTGATCACTTTGAACTTGAAATTGTTTTTAAAGTAACAGGGCAAGGACGTATAGGTGCTGATGGATTGGCAATATGGTATCCTTCAATTTTTTTTGTAAATTAGTATTTTAATTTTAGGTATACAGCACAACAGGGAACTATAGGACCGGTCTTTGGTGCTAACGATTTCTGGACTGGTATGGGAATTATGCTGGATTCTTTTGATAATGATGGTGGAAAAAATAATCCTTCAATTTCTTTAATGATAAATGATGGTATTTTTAAATATTCTTTTAAGTATTTTTTAAAAATCTTTCTAGGAACTCGTTCGTTTGATCATCACACAGACGGCTCTTCTCAGGTTTTAGGATGTAAGTTTATAATATTTACCCTCCTATTTAAGTTTCGAGATTAATCCTTCCTTTTTTATTGAAAAGATTAGTAAAAATTAATTGACATTTTTTTATATTTAGCTTGTCATAAAGATTTTCGTAACAAACAATTTCCTGTTCATCTAAAAGTCATTTACCTTCGAAATGTTCTCACTGTGCTGGTTTCTGATGGAGTTGTGCCTACACCACGATATGAGCTTTGTATTCGTGCTGAAAATGTTTTTCTTCCAAAAGCCGGATTTTTTGGCGTTTCTGCTGCTACTGGTGGATTGGCCGGTTAATTTTAGTATTTTATGAATGGCAACGATTTACAAAAATTTAGACGATCATGACATTCTGGACTTTTCAACCTTCGCAATCTTTACGGATCCTGCTCAATTAGAACATGCCAAACAACAATTAGCGCAAGAAGAGAAAGCGAGAGCTGAAGCAGAATTTGAACGCCAACAAGCCGAATTCCAAAAAGAACGTGAGAAATATAAAGAACAACACCCAGAGAAGGCGAAAGCTGCTGACCAAGATGATGCTTCTAAATATTATGAGGATGCTCAAATGCGAGAATTACGGCAAATATATGAAGCTCAAGCTCAAATTTATAAGGTGATGCAAACAATGGAGCAAAAGTTGACTGATATTTCCAAACAACAAGTAGTTCATACAAGTCTTTTACAAGGAGGGGCTGCTGTCCCACAGGCCGGTCAACAACAAGCAACTGGTTTGTTATTTAGCTTTTAAACATTTTGGAAAATTTTTTCATAGTAATAAGCATAAAACATTTCCATTTCTAAGTTGATCTTCGTTGAAGATTTCAGCCCACGGGTCCACTAATTTAATATTTATATTTACAGCTACAGGCGGATTTTTGGCTCATGAGAAGAACGAATTAATACAAGTTGTCCGTGAAGTAAGTGCCTCATTGCGAGATATGAAGCACTACGTGAATGGTTTGTTTTTATTTAATGTCTTTTTAATGTCTAATTTTAATAGAAATCTATACGCGTACATACAACGTTGAACAGAAAATTCAGCATGGAGTTCCTACAGGCGGTGCTGCTACAGTGATGGTGAGATTATAATTGTTAAACCAAATACCTCTTTCTTCGACAAATGAAAAGTCTAAAATGAATATTGAGTTTGCTTGACTTTTAATAAATATAGAAAATTAATTTTTAATAAATCACTCTTCTTTCATTAATTTTTTAAGCAAATGGATCAAGCAACACGTAATTATTTGGAACAAATGCAGCAAGAAATTAAACAAATTAGAGCTAGTCAAGTTTCTCAAATACAACATCCCCCGCCTCCACCTGTTCAGCCTACACAAGATTGTCCAATGTGTATAACTACTACTCTTTTTGTATTTATAGGTTCGGAAATATGTTTTTATTTGTTAAAACTTTAATTTCCTTTAAGTTGCCTTGCAAAGTGCTGCTTTGTTTATATTCATTTTTATAAGGTAAAATTTAAATTTATTTGTTTTTTTGTAATAAACATTTTTCAGAAGCAAGAGTGATAAAGCTAAATTTTACTAAAGATTTTTTGTGATTTTTGAGTTGTTGGTTCATGGTTACTTTTATTATTTTCATAATATTCTTTTCTTGTTAATTGTTATTTGAGGTTGCTATCTTTATTTTTTTCAGTTTTCCTCTTTCTTTAATCTATTTTAGGCATATATTTAAATACTCTAAAATCGGATAAACGAATATAATTGTTTATATATTGATTTTCACATTTTTTTAGTTAACTCGTTAATATTTTTCAACCCAAACCTTTACTTTTTCTATCTTTTCTTTGTTAACATATCTCGAATTTTTTGTGGGGTTTTCTGTCTGGGTTTTAATTATCTGTTAAATATCTGCTTGAATTTTTTAGATGGGATTTTATGAATATTTTTTAAATTATCCACTAATGTTACCTTATTTTTTCTTATAACTTTTTCTTTTTTTTATTTAATTTTCATCCCCTCGTTTTTGTTTATTTGTTTGTTGCCTTTATCCGCTACACAATTCCAATAAAAAATTTTCTTTTTCGTCTAAAACCAATCTGTTTTGTAGTCTTTGTATCTTTTAATTCTTTTTCTAATCAAAAATTATGTAATTATATAATGTTCTGATTTTATTTTAAATTATTTTCTCTTTTCTGTTATTTTTTGATAAAAATGTGATGAAGGGTTTTATTCGTTTATTTTTAACATTATTTAATTTTTTTTTAAATATGATTCCCAATTATTTGTTTTTAAGATTAAAATATTTTTCTTAAATTCATTAAATATTTAAAAATTAAAAGACCCCTTTTTTCTTTAAAGAAACAAAAAATTTGACTGATTTTTATGTTTTATGGTTAACGTGATAAAATACCTAACTTTTAAACAGTACAAATTCTTTAAATAATTGTTTTATTGATAATAATGAAAAGTAAAATTGTTAAACAACGGAGATAAAAATTGTTAATTATATAATAATTAAATATATTATCATGTAATTATGTATAAAGAATTTTGTAATTATTTTTATTTAATTTTCACTAAAAGTTGATAAGAAAATTAATTTATATAAAGCGGAAATACTCCTAACCTCCTCTTAACAGTTAAAAAAAGAATTATTTTTTTTTAATTTAAAATCCGATCAGACTCGCTTAATTTTCCTTCAAATCTTCTTAGTTTATTTCAAATTAATTGGGAAAATATTAAATTTAAAAAATACTAAAAATAGTAAATAATTATTTACTTGACTCTAGTTATCAATGCACAAAATTGTTTTTGGATTTAATTTAAAAAAGCATTGGAAATTTCCGCAAATGTAGATAAAAATAAGCAGAAAAAATTTCAACAATTTGTTGAAATTATTTTAGGAATTTGATTTTTAACCATTAAATGTGTAAAAATTTTTTTTTGATAAACAAATATATTCTACATATTTTCTCAATAAATTTACATTTTTTACTTTTATATAAGTAATGTATTTGTCTTTTACATTTGTGTAATTTTGAAAACAAAATTAAAGTGATTCACACTATTTTCGTAATATTGTTTTTAATTATTGCCAAATTGTCCAAAATTTTATGAAATTATTTAAATTATGTTATTTTTTTATAAATGTTCAGAATATAAATTTTATTAATTGCTTAAATAATTTAAGATTATATTTATTTATTTTTAGAATTAATTTAAAGTAGATTTACTTAAAATAACTCTCATTTTTCAATATATAAATTCTCTTCCTGTATATAAAAAATTTCCTTTATTTAAACATTGTCTATATTTTTTTCTATCAATGAATTAATCACCTTTCTATTTCTAATTTAATTTTAAAATTTAATCTTTTTTTCTTTGCTTTTCCTCCAACCATTTTAAAGCGTACCCAATGCGAACCTCAACTTCTTTTGAGTACTTTGACACTTTCCGGGGATGCGCAATCTTTAAAAAAAGACTTCCTTTTTTTAAATTTACTTAAAAATTTGTTTGTTTAGTAAAAAAATTTGAAATTATATTTAAAAGCTAGTCATTAAAATTTAAAAAAAATTAAAGTCTAACAAAAATTTAATTTCTTTTTTATTTTTAGAAATTTATTTATTTTAAATAGAACATTGTACTTTAAAATTCTCAAAATTTATTTAAAAAGTTATATCACTTCACTTAAAAGCATAAAATAATGATTAAAATTTAAAAATATTTTTATACTTAAAGACATATGCTCGAATAAATACACTCTAAAATACCTAATTACACCCTCCAGCGAGAGGTTGAAACGATAATTACCCAGGGAACTTATTTTAACATTTACAATATCTCATATATTTTTTTTTAAAAATGCGGGTATTTCACGTAATGTTTTTTGTATAAAATTATGATAGTTAAAATAATTTTTGAAATAATTAAAAGTTATCATTTAATTTTATTTTATATTTAACAATCATTCAAAAATTTACTCATGTAACACAAGGAAAACAATTATTTTTTTATTCTCTCATGACTTTTTTTAAAACTGTCAATTGTTTATTTTTTAATCAAAAAATTAATTTTTTCAAAAAAATTATTTTAGTCAAAAAATGGCAATAACATATATTTCTACAAATTCTGAAAAACTAAATAATTCAGTAGAAAGAGGATTATCTGCTAAAATAGAAGGAAAGAATAATAATCGTTTTTCTAATAAAAAGATAAAAATAATTGCATTGACATTTATTGGAATTTGTTTATTTTTGGCTGTTATTATTTGGGGGGTTTGTAGGTAAAAATTAAAATATATTTTTAATTATTTAAATTATTTAAAAATTTATATTAAATATAAATTAAATATAATAAATTTAATCTAAGTTTATTTTTTAATTAAAAATAAAAAATATTTCAAGAAAAAATACTAAACAAGTATGACTTTTAATTAAAAATATTATGTCTTTTTTAAGCTTTAAAATACCCATCTGTTTTTATTTTCACATAGAAAATTTAATTTTATAATTCAAGACCACCTAAAAATATTAAAATCATTAGATGATTTATAAAACCCTAACTTATTGCATGAAGCTTTCCAAATATTTTTGGGCTTATATTTTTCAAAGGTCACCTTGAGTGGGCTTTTATAGGAGATTGGGCTTTTATTTTTCGATAGGCCTCCTTGGGTGGGCTTATATTAGAGCATCTACAGTATATATATTTTTTTAGGTTTAATTCCTCATCTTCTCCCAATAAAAACAAAACAATATCTGTACCTATTAATTTATACAAAACTTCAATTTTACATATTTGGTTAAAAACTAGAGAAGAAAACCAACTAAAAAAAGCAAATATAAAAATTAAAAATGAACAAATAAATTCAACAATTGCTGAAACTAATAAATTTAAATCTTTTGTTTTCTTTGAATTATCCCCACAAATTGAAGGAAATGCTTTTTTGGAATGGTTTAATGGAGGTAGTAAAATAAATAAAATTAAAATTTTAGTTGGAAAGAAACTTCCTTTGCAAATTTCTTTTTCATCTGAAAGAGGCCTTTTTCGTGAAAATCCGCTGACATTTACTATTAATAATGAATTTTTAAAAATCTTTATCTTTATTAAAATATGTAGTAACACTTATTTGATTAAATTTATTGATATCCTCAAGTTCCTTATCCGTTACTGATCTCTATACTTTTCTCTCAACATTTTGTTAAATTAATCCTCTCAATTCAAATTAAAAAACAAAAAAACTAAATATATTTACGACGATATCTAAATTCATTTTTTCAGATACTTGGGTATCATATATTTATGTTTATGAACCAGAATCAGTTCTAGAATTGGGTATTCGTCCAGCATTTATTGCCAATGCAGCTAGAAATCCGGAGGTTCCAGAAGGTTATCATTTCCGTCCTCCAACTGGTTGGATGAATGATCCTAATGGTTTTAGCAAATTTGGTAAAAATTATTTAAAAATTCAATAGGGATTGAACTTCTTTAGGGACATCCTTTTTAAAGTCAAGGATTTTAAAATTTTAAAAATTGTCTCTCTAACGTATTATTCTTTCGCGCACATCTCCCTTATTCCAATAAAGTTGTTTCACCATTTAGTAAAAATCAGACTTGATTTCGAATCTTGAGTAATTTTCAAAGCCAGTCTCTATTACTTAGTTCAATTCCCTTCTTATTCATGATTTTCCTTGGAGTAGAATAAGTGAGAATATCTGATACTAACAGTTAATTGCCCTTTACTCTTCACAAAATTCAAAATTTAATTAATTATTTCCTTTTAAAGGTCAACATTTCCATTTATTTTATCAAAATTATCCTCATGCATTAAAATGGTCTCCAATCCATTGGGGACATGCAGTTAGTCGAGATTTGGTTAATTGGGTACATCTTCCAATATTTTTATTGCCTGATCCTTCACTTGATGCAAATGCAACTGGAGGAATATTTTCTGGATCAGCAATATCCTTCCCTAATGAATTAAGAATATTCTATACAGACTCTTTAATTGGAAGAATTCCAATGGAATTCCAAAAAATGGTTACAACAATTAATGGAATACATCCAAATGAAATATCAAAAACTGGTTATTATTAAATTTAAAACAAATAAATATTCTTTCCTTTTAGTTATTCCTGAAGGCCCTCAGAAACTTAATTTAACTCAAGACTTTCGTGATCCAAACGGTAATAAATTGAAAAGAGGGGATTAAATAGAAGGAAATAATTTTTAAATTTTTAAAGTAATTTTGGGACCCGATGGAAAATGGAAAATGATTCTAGGAAGTAGAGACAGTCAGGGAGGAGTAATTCTTCTCTACGGGACAGATGACCCAACAGCACAAAGTGGATGGCATTTTTTGAATGTTTTATATAGAGATAATCGTCTTGGAATGACTGTAGCTGAATGCTCGGGTAAATAAATATTTGGAAATAATCTTTGGATTAAAGGAAAGAAAATAAGAGTTTTGGGATTAAAAAGAAAATTTGGTGGAGTTAAAAAAATTAATTTATAGGTCTTGCCCCAATTGATGGAAATCCACAGGATCCAAATACTTTATGGGCATTAATTTATGCTCAATTAAACAGTACTGACCCAGCAACCGGGAGAAGAGATATAACAACTGTACATGTGGGGAAGTTTGATGGAATAACTTTTACTCCAATGTTTGAACAGGAAATGGATTTTGGAACGCATGCTTATGCATTCCAAGTAAATAATTAAAAATAAATAAAAACTTTTAAATTCCAAGTAATTAAAAAAACATAAATTAAAATATTAATTAATAAATTAATTTTAATATTTTTAAAAACTTCCTGGCTCTTTACAGTCAAGAATTGGGAACTTTAACAATTGCTTGGTTGGCAAATTGGAAAGATTGGAATTGGGATACTAAACCAGATTTCCCTACTTCAACTATTTTACCTAGAAAGTTGTTATTAAGTGCTGATAGGAAGGTACTTTTAAAGAGAACACTATTTTTCAATGAATAATATAGTACATATATTAAATAAAATAAATGAGACTTCATTCCATTTATCACAGCTAATATGTATGTTTATGTGTGATCAGAGTTGAAAAATCGAATTTTGAAAAGTGAAGTGGAAAGTAGGGTTAAAATTTTAGTTTTAAGTTAAGGGGAGACTACATAAACCCTTGAATAACCTTTTGAATAACCTTATTAATTTTAACCATAATGTAAAATATTTCTATTTTTAAAGTCATTACTAACACCACCAATTGATTGGGTTATATCAAAATTGCGTAATCAACAATTGGATTTAGACAAACAACTTTTAAAAGGCCAATTTGTTGATTTACCTAATGGGACTGCAGAAATCTCAATTTCTCTTCAAAATTTCCAATCAAATATTTTAGAGCCAATTACTAGCGACCAAAGATCCTCAAATAATTCAAATACTGAAAATTTAAAGTTTATTCGTTTGGAAATTGAGCATCCAAAAATAACAAATGTTGGGGTTGAAATATCCTTTGAAGGAATTGAAATACTTTATGGACCCCCTAAACAACCACAACAAAGATTAATTGCTTTGGGGGCTAAACCAAGTCAAGTTCAGGTAAAAACTACTCCCCCAAAATTACTCCCCCCTCTAAAAAGCTAATAAATAATTTTCTTTTTTAGATATTATTAGATACGGGATCTATTGAAGTTTTTGCAGATGGAGGGCGTTGGACAGGTAATTATTTAAATTTAAAAAATATATATAAATTTATATGTAAAATAGGGACAGTTAGAATTCCTGGAACAAATAAATTCACTAAAATCCGTTTAATTGGTGATCTTTCAATGGTAACCCGTTCTGAAATTTGGGGATTAAAACCTGCAGAATTTAAAGGAAAATTACAAATAAAGAAATGAATATCCTTAATTTTATTTTATTTTTAATTTCTTTTTAAATAAATTAATTGTGTATATTAGTTTATTATTGCCTTAAAATTTATTTTTTTTTGGAAAATTTTAATATTAAAATTATATTTAGTAAATTGTTTTTGGGATTTTAATTAATAAAAAAAAGAATAATAATAAACTAATCTTTTTTGGTATAAGGATTGTCCATATCAGGGAACGAGCCGTCCCGATTCCCGAAATCGGGAATTCCATTTTTTCATCGGCTCGTTCCCCGGTCCATATACACTTTTTTTAATTTATACGGTCATCAAAATTATAATAAAAAATATTAATTTTTTGTTTAATATTTTGTTTTAATTTTTTGGTGACCGATTTTGTGTACATATATATTATTTTTAAGCATAGTATTAGTAATTATCCAAAATATTTTATTAAATATTTTTAAATTCTCTATGAACGGGGCTATTTTGTAAATACAGTCGAACTTCGGTTTTAAATTTCCCCGGCTTTGATTTTTAAAATCTCTTAACCCCTCGTTTATTTTCCAACAAGAGGTGTTTTAAAATCGCGATTCGAATCTGTATATTTATTTTAATGTTTAATAATCTTTTTTTAATATTATAATTTCGAGACGGCAATAATAAATGATTAAATTTATTCAAAAAATTAAAAGAGATCATTACAAAAGAATTAATTAGAGTAATTAATATATTTATTTATTTACAATTTGTTTTAGATTAATTTTTGGGATATTTTTTGTTTTTTGAGAAAGCTTTTTTAATTTACTAAAATTTAAATTTTAAATTAATTTCCTTCAATTTTTAATTATTTAAAAACATTCAAAAGCTTCCAAAAACCAAAAAATATTTGAAAGAGGACTATTTACTAATTAAATAAAATAAAACATTTTTTTACTTTCAAAAATATTTTGAATATTTTTTGACTTTCCTTTTTTAATTTTTAATTCTTCAATTGAAATTCATCAAAGTCTAAATTAAAAAAATTATTTCTTTAAAATAATTCCTCCCCCCCCTCTCCCCTCCCTTTCTTTACCTATTAAAGTTCCATTCAAAACGTCCAGGCTCTTCAAGAGCTAACCATCCTGCTGGCTCCATAAAGTGGCCATCAGAATTTCGTTTGATTGCACCCCCTCCGAATTGTTGGTCTGCGAGGAATCCGGCCCTATAAAATTTAAAAAAATTAAAAAATTTCAAAAAAATTAATTATTTCTCTACCATCGATCACCCATTCCTGAAGGAAAGGGAGAAACAAATCCATTTCCACTAGCATATGGCATCAGAAAAGGTGTTTGAGGTGCAAAACCACGAAAAGTTGGGGGGTCATTAAATTTCTTTTCTTCGTTAATGTGACTTTAAAATTTAAAAATTTAATTTTTAATTATTTTTTATAAACAAACTTATTATTTTGTCCAACAGAAAGTAAAGGTTTTGCATTAATTGAAGGTGTAAATAATAAAATTCCGGAAAAAACGATAAAAAGAATAATTGAATGAATTGAATTTTTTGTTGAAATTTTGACAAATGGAGAGGAAAATGAAGAAGAAGAAGACATTTTTTAAAATTATTTTTTTAAATAATTAGGTATTTCTAAAAAAATTAAAATTTTATTAATTTTCTTTTCAATACCCTTCCATTAATTGAATTTTTTAATTAATTTTTAGTCAACCTTTCAAAATTCCTGTTAAGTCTCTCAATTAAATACTAATTATTTAATATTTCCCCTAATTCAGTCCTTTTTATTTAAAAAATTACTAGCAAATATTCCCCGAAATAATTCCAAGACTTTACAGGTATAATAAAGAGATATTTCCTTAGAATATAAAATAAATTTTATTAAAAATTCTTTAAAATAATGCAAATTAAAACAAATTAATTTCGTGATGGAAACAACAAAATATACTTTTTTTTTCTCGGAAATTAAAATTAAAAAAAATTTTTTCTTTAATAAATTTTGTTTATTAGACTTAAAGTCACGTTCTCTTTAGCGGAAACTCAATTTAAATATTTACAAGTGCCAACAACTTTTGTTTTTTATGGGAAAGTTTTATGGGAGAATGCGCACAGAAAAGTTGACCTTAAATGGTGTAAATAACTTTAAAAAAATATTTTTTAAATAAAATCCTTCGGTAATACTTGCTTTGTAAAGGTAAGTATTATCAAAATAATCTTTTAATTATATTAAAGAACCCCTTAGCTTTCGGGCTTAAAAACATTAAATTAACCATCACAAAAATAAAAATACAACTACAGACAATAACAGATAAAAACTATAGTCTAGAATATTTTTTGTGGTTAATTTGCCTTGAAAAATAATTTTAAAAATTAAAAAAAGCATTGACGCGATTAAAAGATTCAATTCAAATGTCAAGAAAAAATTGTTTAAACAATTCACATAAACTTTTTATTTTAATAATTATGAAAAACTAAAGTTTATTTATTTAATTAAAATATTTTAGTTTAAAATTTTCTCACGAATTTAAAAAATTTTTTATTGTAATTAAAAAAATGTTTAGAAAATAAAATTTTTTAAAGAAAATCTAAAGGTGAACTTTTAGTTTTTAAATTGAAAAAGTTGAAGTATGTCAGGGGCGGTATGCAAAAAAGGAGGTAGGGGTTAACCAACCCTCAGCTGCGGGTAGGTTAACCCAGAACCCTTATTCAAAAATGGAGGTAGGGGTAACCTGCAGCTATGGTTAGTTACTCGGGTAATAGAACCCGCAGCTGCGGGTATGGTTCTAACCCTTATTCAAAAATGAGGGTTGCAGGTAATAGAACCCGCAGCTGCGGGTAAGATTTTAACCCTGCTCCGATGAGGGTTAAAATCTTATTCGCATCTCTTTAAAAATTTTTTAAAAATCCAATTTCAATCGGAAAATTCCAAATTAAATATTTTTAGATAGAATAGAGTGTGCTCTATTTTTTGATATAATTTTTAAAAATTTTTTTTAAAAATTAAATTTACTATAAATTTTCGCGTAAAGTGCCCCATTTTTGAGCAAAAAAGGGGCTCATTCTCTCCAATAGGCAGCTGCGGGTAATCATCGAGTTCTGGGTCGATTTTTTTTGAATAAGGGTTAGCCCTCAACTGAGAGTTCTATTACCCGAGTAATAGAACCTGCTAGACTTACCAGGCAACCCGCTTTTTTGCATACCGCCCCAGAAGAAGGGATATGTGTATATAGCAGGGATGTCACGGGTTACCCAAACCCGATACCCGACCCGACATTTTTCTCAACCATTGACATCCCTGGTATATAGCCTTTAAAATAAACTTCAAATATATATTTTAAAATAAATCTTTAATTAATTAATTAATTAATT